CAAACATAACAATCTGAGTCTATAGTTCTAATGTTAAGACAAGCTCTCGGTACGCACCCGACGGTTTAGTGTGTGAACTGTGGTGCATCTGGAGTGTTTTGGCATACAAAATAGAAGAACACTGTACGATCGAATCGTATTTCTAGCTATTGATAACTGAACTCAACACTCTTTCGGTATATCCTAACCTGATTCCTAGCTTTCGATACAAAAGCCTTTGCTCCGGGCTTGTAATGCTCTTTATGAAATCGGAAACTGCAGAAATGGATTTGCGCCGGGCTCGCGCAGGCAACCATCAGTCGCTTCAGTCGCAATTGCACATATCGTCGCAGAAATAATTGGCCTGCCCGTTGCACCGAGCGCCTACCAAAACTGCTCGAGGCGACAACAGTCCTCGATTGTCCGCTATAATTGTTCTGCCATCTGTCACATGCTCGAGGCACTGTGACCGCGGCGTTGGTGGCGGCGGCGGCGGCGGGGGCGGGGGCGGGGGCGGGGGCGGCAGCCATCTGGCGGCCGGCGGCCGGCGGTGGGCGGGCGGCCGACGTACTCGTGCGCCGGGCGGCAGTGGGCGAGGAGGTGGCGACGGGCGGGTGACGACTGACGAGGGTGGTCGAGTGGTGGCAGAGGTGAACATACAGAGGATACTGAAGGAGGTGGATTATCACAGATAATGTAAGTCGAGTGGTCAGGGAAATTGCATCGAAACCGCTGATAAGCGCACACCACCAATATTTATCCCATATATAAAAATCAAAACGTCCGTATGTATGTATGTATGTATGTACGTATGTATGTGACGCGTCAGTCACGCTTGGCGGGCTATTGCTCCGGAACGGTGCGGGCTACGGGGGTGAAATTTTCGACGCAAGTCGGACGCGTGCATCTGTTTGTCGTATTAAATTTTGGTGGGGGTGCGCTCGCCGGCTTGCACGTGGCGGGCGCATCTTTGCGGGATTTTGGGCCGCGGCCGGCGCCGAGCAGAGAGCACGCGCCCTAGGCTCAGATTGTTCGCTGCAAAAATGAGGGAAAACAGAGTCGGAGGTCGTTGACCTTTGGCAATGAATACCGGAACAGAGCACCGCCGGCCAGGAGGAGACGCAACATTTATTCTGGCCATAACTCGGCCGCTACTGGGCCGATTTTATTGAAACTTGATTTATTACGCTGCGCGTAATGCTGGACACCTAGTTACATATATAAAAATCAAAACGTCTGTACGTATGTATGTATGTATGTATGTAACGCGTCAGTCACGCTTGGCGGGCTATTGTTCCGGAACGTTGCGGGCTACGGGGGTGGAATTTTGGACATAAGTCGGACGCGTGCATCTGTTTGTTGTATTAAATTTTGGTGGGGGTGCGCTCGACGGTGTGCACGTGGCGGGCGCATCTTTGCCGCATTTTGGGCCGCGGCCGGCGCCGAGCAGACGGCACGCGCCTTAGGCTCAGTTTCTTCGCTGCAAAACTGAGGGAAATCAGAGCCGGAAGGTCACTGACCTTTGGCAATGAATACCGGAACAGAGCACCGCCGGCCAGGAGGAGACGCCAAATTTATTCTGGCAATAACTCAGCCGCTACTGGGCCGATTGCAATGAAACTTGGTTTATTACGCTGCGCGTAATGCTGTCCCTCTAGTTTACATATATAAAAATCAAAACGTCTGTACGTATGTATGTATGTATGTATGTATGTAACGCGTCAGTCACACTTGGCGGGCTATTGCTCCGGAACGGTGCGGGCTACGGGGGTGAAATTTTGGGCGCAAGTCGGACGCGTGCATCTGTTTGTCGTATCAACTTTTCGAGGGGGTGCGTGCGGCGGTTTGCACGTGGCGGGCGCATCTTTGCGGGATTTTGGGCCGCGGCCGGCGCCGAGCAGACGGCACGCGCCTTAGGCTCAGATTGTTCGCTGCGAAAATGAGGGAAAACAGAGTCGGAGGTCGTTGACCTTTGGCAATGAATACCGGAACAGAGCACCGCCGGCCAGGAGGAGACGCCAAATTTATTCTGGCCATAACTCGGCCGCTACTGGGCCGATTTTAAAGAAAATTAATTCATTACGCTGCGCGTAATGCTGTCCGTCTAGTTTACATATATAAAAATCAAAATGTCTGTACGTATGTATGTAACGCGTCAGTCACGCTTGGCGGGCTATTGCTCCGGAACGGTGCGGGCTACGGGGGTGAAATTTTGGACTTAAGTCGGACGCGTGCATCTGTTTGTCGCATTAAATTTTGGTGGGGGTGCGCTCGCCGGTTTGCACGTGGCGGGCGCATCTTTGCGGCATTTTGGGCCGCGGCCGGCGCCGAGCAGAGAGCACGCGCCGTATGCTCAGATTGTTCGCTGCGAAAACTGGGCGAAATCAGAGCCGGAAGGTCACTGACCTTTGGCAATGAATACCGGAACAGAGCACCGCCGGCCAGGAGGAGACGCCAAATTTATTCTGGCCATAACTCGGCCGCTACTGGGCCGATTTGAATGAAAATTGATTTATTACGCTGCGCGTAATGCTCGGCACCTAGTTTTATAATAAAATGTTAATATATGCAGTAAATATTCGAGTCAATGTAACGGAAGGGTATGACGATTTAGTACACACATAATTATATTCATGGCCCCAAGGTAGGTAATTGGGCTCTGTCTGTGTTGCTCACTGATGTGTAGAGACATTAGACAACATGAAGCTTACAGAACTGACTTCCTGTGAGCCGTACTGTGTTACCGTTCCGGCACTGTGATTGAGGGCTTGAAACGTGTAACAGAACGTTCAATAAGAATGTTAAAGCTCATTTTGTTGAATTTATTTCACTGGTATCTAGGTATTTGAACGTCTATGATACAAATAATTCTAAACTGTTCGATATTTTTGGCTTAACCCTCGCCCATGTAGGGGGGGGGGTTGGTGCAACCCCCCCCCCTGAGGTTTTTCGGAAATAGTGCAAAAACGGCGGCGCGCAGCGCCGCCAAATTTTGGGTACCTTATGGGGCAAACCTTGCGCATCTTTTGATAAAAAAATTTGACCGGGTCATGTCAGGTCACGGAGTTATGACGTCACAAAGGGAACAGCCTCCGGCCGGATTTTCACAAACTGAGTGCCAACGCCCGAGGTTTCCTGCCGGTGGTACGGACATCGGTTGATGGATCGTGATGAAGCTTCCCATGCATGTTGGGGCAAGTATTGGCTATCATATGGTATAAGAAACTTGACCGGGTCAGGTCAGGTCACGGAGCTATGACGTCACAAGAGGAACAGCATCCGGTACTATTTTTGAAAAGCGCCCGAACCACTATTTTGCTAATTCTTGTCACCTCAATGGGAATATGCAGCAATATTAGCTTCTATAGGGAGCAAATGGACCTCCCAAATCCAAAAATACAATCAGATTTCAAAAATTTAAATTTTGATTTTTCGAATTTCTGCCGCCGACTGTGACCTTGCCGACTTCCGGCGCTCCCAACGCGCCATTTTTAGAGCTAGGGAAACGAAATACATACCAAACGATAGAGAATTGATCAAGGAACACGATAGTGAAGGTTTCAAGTCGATATCTCCCACCGTTTTGCCGCAATCGCCGCGGAAAGTTGAAAAAAGTCTATTTTTCCGAAAATTTGACCTTTGACCGGTCAAAAGTAGGTCAAATGTTGACCTAGGACCAAAAAATATACCACCAATCGCGAGATCTCGGCGAGAGCAATCCTTTGGTCTTTTCCGCTAAGCTCTACGACGCTCCGTTTTCAAACGCCAAGGGGGGGGGTCGCACCAACCCCCCCCCTGCATGGGCGAAGGTGGCAGATCGCCGTTTACGGGCGAGGGTTAATACTTAATTAAACAAGGCCTATAAAACGGACAACTTTCAGGGATACCTACGTCCTATACCTAGCCCAATAAGATAGAATTACATGAGTGCCTTTTGTGTGAGTAAATTACTCATAAATATGTCAGCAGTAGCCCCACATATTCTACAACCATACTATACCTAACTGCAAATCCAACTTTGCTTTTCACCAGGCCAAGAGCGGAGTTGAAGCGTCGAAAAAGCGATTTGTCACTTCAATCGCCATTCGCCATCATTAGTCATAAATCACTTCAGCAGCACACCCTTCATAAACACTGCAATCACCTATAACCGATATAAATGACACACAACTGTGCCATCACCCGGCTAGCCCGTTAGTACCACCACCCACCGCTCCAGCCTGAGGCACACATCCTGTCATTAGAGTCCGGATACCAGCCGTTCCGCCGCTGCGAACAGCGTCGCCGCGTGCCGGTGATACGGTGAGGCTCGCGCTGATCTGGGACGTGAGAGTCACAGTGCCGGACGCGGTCCGGCGCGGGTACGGCGCGGGACCACCTGACGCGTATACGCAGCCCGACAGTCGAGTCCACTGGTGGTCGAGGTAGCGGTCCGGGCCGTGGCCACCGACAGACTATCGAGGTGGTGTTGGGTTCTAGCCCGACCGCTGGAACGCGCTGATATTGGTTCCAAACCCGACCGCCGAGACGTGATAGTGCGGACGGGCCGCGGTCATCAAAGACGTTCCGTTGTTCGAACGGTAATGCATGCAATGCCTAGCCGCCGGTGGCTGTGAAGGTGTCCGAAATAGCAGCGTGGTTGAACATTTCGCGAGGAGAAGGTTTGATTTTATAGCTGTCAGCGGGCAGTCAAGCGCCAGCGGGGAAACGAGGAAAACCAAACACGAGAGATGAACTAGAGTTTATGAGTTACTGGGGGACTTTCAAGGGTTTATGGCGCTGTGGAAAGGCAAAGCACTGATCCTTTTATCACTCGACTCTGACCGTTTATTGGACTGAAGTCCATAAAACAAACCGCAGTTTATGGCACCCACTAATTGAATCGCTACGCTGACCTAATGACTGAATTATGACCAGCCCTGAGAGAGCTGGATCCCGTTAACTAGCCCACTTTCCATCCTCCATAGTCCATCACTGCCGATCTGACTGTTATGACTAACCACCCCCTCTCTGTGTTACAGCCTACAGCGACAACCCGGACCGGGACAGCTTGGACGGAAACCTGCCGTCGAGCAGCCATGGCACGGCCACCAACCCCCCTCCGGCGCCGCCGCTCGGCCCGCTAGCCACGCCCGCCAGCTTCACCAAGGGACCCAACGCCAAAAAGAAGCACAAGAAGCTGAAGGCGGACGATACCGTCGCCTCAACTGATAAAGAGAAGACGATGAAGCGCCAGGACTCTGAGAGCGGCGACAGCGCCTGGGAGGAGACCGAGCCATGGTGAGTGAAACAGCAATGGCCAGGGGTCTATCTGGGTGCTTTGTGAGTGCGATTATCCACTCTTCTACGGTTCACCAGGTCCTTACATGGCAAAACCATAGTGTAAGAAATAACACTATGGTGAAACATTTACAGTATGGTTATTATCAATAACACTATGGCTAAACATTTGCACTATGGTTATTTATTACACTACGGTGATATATTTACCCGAGCTTCACTATGTTTATTTTCCTGAAACCTCACGATTACGTTATTGGTCCCTACATATAGGTAATCTGACATATGTGAGTGGTTTATAAAGCGGGCTTGCAACTGTTTTTCGCAACATCCACGCTTTCATTATAGATTTGATTGCACGCTTCCGGCACGTAGCAGTTTTGAGCGACGACAGCCATACATTGCGTCATTGTTAAAACGATGGTGGATGCGGAGCAGAAAATTGCAAGGGCCTTCGTTGCATCTCGAGTCTACGGATGCGCATCTAGCTGTAAAGCGCGTCAGGGCTTGACGATTATGACGAACGATAACACGCGTGTGGGGGCCATTTAGCACGACGCGTGTAGCGTGAGCGTTTGCTGCTGTTGGAGCACCACTGAAAACAATTTAACCCAAGGCTGGCGAGTAAACCGGTGTTTTACGAGTACCCCTATCCGCAACCATTTTTAACCACCCTCCCAGGAGTAGTGCTAGGTCCCATTGCGGTGTAGTCGTACTTGCTCTGAGCGGATATAACCGCTGTCAGCGAACAAGTCCGCTGAGAGCAGGGACGACTACACTGCAATGGGACCTTACTGTACTCCTGGGAGGGTGGTTAACCCTCGCCGGCCGAGGGGGGGGGGGGCGGGTGCCGCCCCCCCATAGGGTTTTTTCGCGATAGCTCCGAACACGCTGGCGATAGAGAGCTGAAACTTAGCATACCTGACCTTTGATCCAAGCCGGATCTTTTGACACCAACCGCATTTTTGGGTCAGGTCAGGTCACTGACCTATGACGTCATAAGTGAACCTCTGCACGGTCATCAGATGTCGCAACTTCGCAACGCCCTCACTGCCAGAGGAGATGTCACAGGGAAATGAAACTTGCAGGATCTAGTATCCATTATGAGTCCCACAACTTGTATATCTCGGATTTTTCCTAAGGGTCATATGAGGTCAGGTCATTTTCGTGACCTCACCATTATAAGTCAATGGGGAAAAATGAAAACTGCTATTCTGGCGCCGGGAACGATCTCCAACTATCTCAAGCACACAGAATCGTGATTTGATGGACTCCTTGCAAGGTTAGATGCGTCACTTTTGCAATGTTGACCTTGCGTGACGTCATTTATGACGTCATCAAGGTCATATTAGTTTTTCGTCAATAACTCTTGATCAAATTGAGCTAGCGAGTCGGGAAAGCCACCAATGGACTCAGGAAGACCTGCCGAATCGAATGATATGCGACATGACCTCTTTCGACCAACTTCGTGACCTGGGGGTGCTGACCTGACCTTGACCTGAGGTCAACACCCCAAGTTGACCTGACCCGGACAAAAAGTATGTCATTCGACGCGCCTGAGCGAGACGAACACGATGCTGCCAAAATCGGCGCTCTGCTGCCGTTTTTTGCGAAGTTATTCACCAAAAACTGAACCGTACCTTGGGGCACTTGACCTGACCTCAGAGGTCACCGGTTGACCTAGGACCTTAAAATCGGGTACCAATCTCTGCGTCTCGTAACGGCGCATACGCCCGTTTTTTCCGCGACGCGCTAGCTCCACCAGGGGCGAAACGGCGAGGGGGGGTCGTACCCGCCCCCCCCCCTCGGCCGGCGCGTATGTAGAAAACCAATAGGTCCGGCGAGGGTTAAAAATGGTTGCGGATAGGGGTACCGCAAAACACCGGTTTACTCGCAGGCCTTGGGTTAAATTGTTTTCAGTGCAGAATTGGCATTGCGGCAAAACGCTGAATACATACTTACATTTAAATACGTTAAGTTGAACACGTTAAGCGATTCTTGTCGTGACGCTCATCTCCTAGTTCGATTTTGGCTTCATTAATCATTCATTGCAACGACAAAATGATGTTTTGAGGGTGATGCCTTGAGAGTTAGGCACTCGCTTCCCATCTCAGTTGCTTCTATCGTTCAATGCGTGGTTTACGGTTACGAGGCCCAAAAACGTTTATATGTTACCGCAATACATCTATTTTACATAATGCACTTTTGAAGTTCCACAGCGACACGTGCTATTTCCCAAACACACTGCGTTTCCTAGACGCGACTCGCGAGTAAACGCACATCACCCACACACCATTAATTTCACAGGCCTCCGGTCTTTCCATGTCAGTACTTCCCTCAAATATCGAGAAATCGTCCGAGTAACTCGACTGAGACACCAGCGCTCACCTACCGTCAGCCTGTGTCACCCGTGAGCCGCGCCACTCCGAAGGACCGACCGACGTGTGGTGCGCCAGTTACGCCGTCAGTGCGCCAGTAACGCCGTCAGTGCGCCACTCAACGCATCTACCGTGACCGCCGTGACATTAGGAAGCCACCGACCCCGCTGAGGTCGAACTGAAGCGCCAGAAGCGGCGACCCTCCCCAGACAGTTCGATCCGCCCTAAATGTCCGCGTCAATCCACCGAAAACGTGCGGAGAAAGTGAGACCATTGTTGTACTATGGGCTGGTACTTTCTTTCTGGTGCGCTCTGACAGGCGTGTCAAAGGATGATCTCGATGCTACTCCAAGCTTTGAGATTGTGAGAAAGATCGTGAACTGGATCTCACTGGCTCGTGGTGCAGGCTAGCATCAAGCGAGGAAAGAACCGTGAAGTCTTGTGAAGTAAACGGCAGGGTGCAGAAATCGTGCCTTATCTGGATTACCAGATAAGGTAATTCAGATTACCGCGTGCGGTCACCGTTTAAATTCGACCAACTATGCATCATTTCACAAAAGTGGATTTACGGTAATTAGGTAGGTATATCGCAAATTTCAACATCCAAGATAACAAAATAGCAGTTTGAAGAAGCTACTTCGTTTTTCGAACGCGGACCGTTCTTCGCATTATATACGCATTGTATGTATAGAACGGGTCTTATTAAGCCGTGACGAACCTCGTTGACCGAGTTACTCCCTGACACATCATCTCTTACGATGACTCTCGATTATGCAACTGCCAACTACACCCGGTTGCATGTCTGTTTATTCGGTAACACTCATGACGCCGAGCGGTGACCTGGAGAGGATGCCGTGCGATGAGAGCATCAGCCCGCTCGTACAGACCCAGTTCCGAGTCACGTCATGAACGTACACAGTCATTGGATTGATGGCCTGTTACCGGAGCCTGTTTGTGTGCCGATCGGCCGCCGCCCGCGGGGTGCTGATCCTCTGACACCCTCCGGAGGCTCATCTGGTCACGGCCGGACGCACAGACCGCCGCCGGCAGGCGGAGAAAGCTCACACCCGCCGGCGACACGTGCCCCGGGGGAGATCCGCCTCTGGATGAGGCGGGGCGGCGCCCGACCCGGCGCGTGTCACGGCAGGCGCCCGAGCGCGCCGGTTAGCCTACTGAGCGGCCGGGGGCGCAGCTGCCGCCTCCCCAGCTCTCTCCCAGCGCGGCTCTCAGTTGCAGATCAGAACGGCGACGGCAACTGCAGGGTTAGCGGCGGGTGTGAGGTGCTCTCCTGCATGTGAAGGATTTCGAGGGAAGTGTTGGTCTGGCGGGATCGTGATCGGTGAGCGGATTCACGGAGCGTGGTCGGAGGGTGTGTGGTGTGAATCTACGGCGTGGAGTTCGTGAAAGTCACGAGGTGGAGCGACCCGCGACCCGATCGAGATCGGGCCGAAAGGAAACGCTTCTCGTGATCCACGGTTATCCAAAGAAATCGTGAGTACCGAAGCGGAGGAGGCGAAGTGGTGATATTTGTAGACAAAAGTACAGACCTATATCATCACTTTTCTGTCACGGATAGATCGATGCGCATCCATGCGTCTTTTTTTGTTGACCTGCACATGAATGCATTTATTTAAAGGGACCCTCCCACCTTCAAAAAAGTTAATGAATTGGCATGAAAGTGATGTCGCTCGGTTCAGAAAGAGCAAAAACGAATATCTACCAAATTTCATCGAAAAATATTCACCGGTTTTCAAGATATTAGACTTTTACTATTGTTTACTTTTTGGGATCTCCGCTGTTCCTAGCGACTTTATTTGAAAGTGCGGCATTTGTTGCGCGCAAAGCAGCATATACCACCGTGTGCTACAAAACGTTTTAGTCAAACATTTAACGGACGTTCGAAAGCCTGATGACGTCATCAGACTCCCGTAATGGTTTAGAGATAGGGACCACGCTGGTCCCACCCTGCAAGTAAAGGGAAGAAATTTCTTGAACACCATAAAGCTGCGGGGGTTGCGACCAGGATAAATGGTGGTTTCTGAGCCTGGCCGCAAACTTGGCTATCTCAACTCAAAACTAATGTTAAGGTGGGAGGGTCCCTTTAAAGTGACATTTTTGATAATGGTTAATGATAGCTTATCGCATTTGATATAAAGCTTGTGGTTTATTATTCAAAAGTGAAACACTTTTCTAAAAAAGTGTCGCAGTAGTTACAGTGTTATCTTTCACAAAGTCACAAGGCGTGCGCCTAGTGACAAAATTTCTTCCTCATACTCATGTGCCGTTTTCAAGAAACATTGGTTGCGTCCCCGAACATTTATGTCCGTCTACATTGCCTGTGTTGCCGGACTTGTGGGATCAGGTATCATCCGTGGTCCCACTTGGTCCTAATCGGCACTTCACTTCATCGGCTTGACTAGAGAGAATCAATCCATTCGGACCCGAGAGTCTGGACACTTCCCTCCAAGAAGGTCTAACATCAAGCCACCTTCCGTTTAGCGGACCTGAGGTCAGGTCACCTCACGATCACCTGGTCGACTAACCGCCGACTCACGATCCGTGATGAGGCCTCGGTGGTCGTCTCATGCCACACGCTCACGGTCCTAGCCGTAGTGTCACCACAGCAGCGCGCTCGTGACCAGGGGCGCTTTGAGCGCATGTGCCGCCTGAGTTGCCTCACGCCGCCGCCGCAGACCGTTGGTCTGTTGGTGGGCTAGCGGACACCCAGCGTGGCGGTAATGCTGCGTCGGTCGGTGACTGAAGAGTTGAAGACCCGACGGTCCGGCAGACGGTTCAGGGAAGCGCAGTCGAGACTCGAGACCGTGGGGCGGAAAATCACCGAAATAGACTACTCGTGGTTAGACTCGGCTGATATTAACGGATGCAGCGGGGCGGAAGTGAAAAACAACAACAAGCCCTAGAACAAGACGATTATCCATGCATCGATGCTACATTCCGGTGCTTCAAATCGACGTCGCATTTGGAAAAAGGAGAGGTCAGTCGAGTGACTTCGTCTTTCATCTGCTAGATGTCAGTCGGTGACCTCACGTGCCATCTAACCAACCCATCTGCTGACCGCAGTGCCGCAGAAGACCGGGTCTTTCTGACTGGCTGTCCCTCGCCGTCCGTCCCCACCGCGTGTGTAACGGGCTGAGAGGCACCGAACCGTGACCCGTGCCGCGTGTAGCCCACTTCTCTGCAACGCTGCCGGCGCGGGCAGCGGTCACACAGAGAGGGAACAATGAGCAGGTGATGGACAGCTGACGGGCACAGATGTATCCGATCAGAGAAACACGGTTCCAGTTGACTAAATTGTTCGGAAGACTGCACATTGCACGCGCCTCGCAACTATTCGCCAGTCGAAGTAGGTAATCGGTATTGTACCGTACGAAAACTGCAATCGAAGTCGGTTCCACGACCCACTGGCAGATGCAGCGGCTGACTGGCTGGACAGATAATTCCGTGAGCTGACTACGGTCCCGCAAAGCCCCGGCACTGGTCGTCCATCATAGGAGCGAGCTGTCCACGATCGGCCGGCCGACCGAACGCCGGCCATCTGGCGCTTCGTCAGGTCGTTAACTGGACCGTCCGAGTTACGCCCACCCAGCCGGCCAGCGTGGCGTCGGACCGTGGACGGAGCGACGGGCCTTGGGCGGAAACACTAATATCAGTTATAACTTGGACTGAAACTTGTGTTCGAGCAGCTCGACAGTGCACGTCACCAAGGAGAATTGTCGGCTTAGCTAGAGACCAACAGCGGATAATGTGATGACTTCTTTCCAAGCGACTCCTTCCCTCTCTCTTGAAGCCCTGGACTGTTCAACTCTGGCTTCGTCCAAGGCGGCACCCGAGCTGAACTACCTACGACTCATGCTCCCACCTTCTCAGCAGGGAGTTACTACGGACGGCAGGAGCGACGGCGTCAAAGCGTGGGGACAATAGCGCTGGTTTTGCAGAAAATAACAGTTATGTTTCGGTGTGAGGAGACCCACTAAAGAGGCAGAACAATGAGTAACTCGGACAGAACGGTGCGTGGCCACTCCGGTGGGACAAATCACCGGACACAATGGCCTTGTGGTTCCTGGAGGTTTTCAGGACACAAACAGTTTGTTTCAGACCCCATGGCTGGCTGCAAAAACTAGCACGAGTGGACGAGGGAAGAGACAAATAAGGCACGCAAGATCGGTGTTGATGCCCCCTGAGGAAGCCAGGGACGCAAATTATCCAAAAATGATTGTTATAATGCCCACAAACACGACACAATACCCCCAAATATGCGATGTATGTCAATCAGAATACTAGTGCGCATCCATTCCCTCTTCGCTGGACATCTCGAAGTCGCCAAGGGCTCCGTGTGGCTGACCTCAGCTGTTATCCTCTGTTTCAGCACACACATGTGGGTGGTCCTGTCGTCGATGTACGGCAAGCTGGTGGTGCTGCTCACCATCGCCTTCTGCCTCACAGAGGTGATGGACAACTCCATCCTGCCGCTGACATTCCAGGTGAGATATAAAGATGGCGATAGCATTGGTCTTGGTCTGCTCGAATGATCGTGTGTGTTCGCGGCAATCGTTAAATTTAAGACACTTACAAGCGTTCCATTGTTCATATAGATTGCTAAGACAAAAAATTAGAAACGTTTTCCAGTTGGAATTTGTCTTTGGCTGTATGCTCGCACATTATTTCGTGATAACCGATCGTGAAATAAAGGCACCTTGACTCGCGTGAAAAGGCCGGACTTGACGTATACCTGACTCGCGTGATTGACATTGCAGGGCGTGTTCATGATGTACCTCTACGTGGGGAGCATCATCGCCATCCTGTGCATCTACATCACCGTGGTAGCCGACAACATCCCCAGCGTGACGTCCTCCAAGCAGGACCTGACGCAGGCCGACCCGGACATCACCAGCCTGGCCAGCTTCGGCACGCTCAAGAGGGCGCACATCTCACGCTCCAAGACGACGCGCACCAGCTTTTACCTACGAGTCGGCGCTCTTTGTAAGTATAGATCATTCACAAAAGCTAAGTATCAACCAAACAGAACATTAGTTGAGTGCTTGGATAATCTGTAGAGAGCGGAAAAAGCCAGGCGGGCCGTCCAGGAACCGACACTGCCCTCGGTCCAGGAACCGAGGGCAGTGTCGAGCCGTGACGAACATGAGCGATGGGATGGGCGGGGCTTCGCGTGACGGCAGGGCGCCGTGATGAGCTCGTGACGATGGCGTAGTGACGTGACGTGACGCTCGGTCGTGACGCCCGGGACGGTCACGGCCGGTGGTCCACGGGGTGAGGTCGGCCGGAGGAACTCGGGGTGAAACACACACCGGAGGTCGGACGGAGGAGCTCGGGGTGAAACACACACCGGAGGTTGGACGGAGGAGCTCTGGGTGAAACACACACCTGAGGCCAGGTGGAGGAGCACACGCTGGCGGTTGGGCACCTGCCTGAGGGCGGGTGGAGCTATACATATGTTCGGGGTAAACCACGCACCTGGGTTCGGGCCTGCGCCGTGTAGTGGTAAACGGTTGTCATTTTATCAGTACAACGGGTCTGGTGCAAACCTGTACTCGACTCCGTAGACTTCGAGGCCTCTGAGAATGTATTCGGAAATACGACGTTTTACTTACAAATCAGGCCGGCATTGATGTAGATGGCTGCATTTGATTTTAGATTTAGCCAGGTACCAGAAAACAAAACACGTGTTACGAATAACGACCTGCCCCAGTGTACGCGATATTTGAAGATTAACTTTCAATGAGCTGAAAGATATAACTCATCTGACATCTCTCTTCCTCGTCCCGTCTATCTTCATCCACCTGGTCGGCGTCTGTCTAACGTCACAGCGCCGTCTCGGTGCGTCACAGACAGCGTCCCGTCACGGCCGTGACGCCGGAAATGGCGTGTTTCCGGCGGTTACCCGCCGTGACGTCACAATTATTTAGTGTGTCCCGGGTGGGCTCCTGAGCGGGGCCGTGACCGCCGGGACGGCATCTGTGATTGCACGGGCTCGTATACGGGTAGCAGAGCGAGCGGTGACGCTAATTGAAAAAAAGACGAGCAGGACTAGATCGCGTGATCATTTGTGGTTGCGTACGTACGCTCTACGTTTGGTAATTTAAAAAAGTCAGGCAGTTTAAACAACGCATAGCGCACAAGTACGTCTAAATGTTGATAGCTTAGGTAGTGATTAGTGGCAATTACCGCAGCTAAGTGTGCGTGTGTGTTGTTAGGCCCCACGAGACACGCTGTCGATGGTAACGAATTGTAACGCATCAACCCTCACATCAAGTTGACGTCTTCTGTAGGTAAATTCCCGGCTACGAATAGCGTGTACTACCGGCATCAAACACCAGCGTCGTATTCTGCCTCTGACTGACCTGTGCCCCCTCTCCCTCCGGCAGTGTTTGGTTTCGGCACGCTGGTGTTTAACGGTCTGGAGATCGCCATGCGCTCCACCACGGACACGGCCTGCAGCGGCGAGCTGTCGTTCGCGCATCCCATCCTGCAGGCCATCTTCACCTTCCTGCAGATGCACTTCCTCTTTGTCAACTCAGAGGTAAGCGAGAGGGTCGAGTAGCAGAAACACGCGTCAAGTAACAGGGGTGTAAATATGATATTTGCTTGTGCATTATCAATGCATTTTAGTTCATCTCTCGCTCGTTTTAAATGGTTTCTCATTGCCAGCCCTTTATAAACGACGGGCGGTCGACAGTCCAAGAGTAATGTCAGTGTCATGGAACGACCCCTCGTTTTTGTCCAGTTTTACAAAGCTAGCCCGTCTGTTGTATTGAAATACACACAACCAGACCCCAAGCTGTTCGGACGACATCCCCTCCCCGAGGGATCAAGACCCTCTTACCGGTCCCTGTCTGTTTCCGGGCCGACTGACCCACCCCGTCTCCACCCAAAGGTCGTGGTCGAGAAGTTCGGTCAGATGGCGCGTTTCGGCTTCATCCATCTGGTGGCCACCAACCTGTCCGTGTGGTTCCGGATGGTGATCTGGGACTCGGCTCACGAGTGGGTCCACTTCGTGCACCTGCACGCCCAGCCGGACCGGCCGCTGCAGTACGGCGGCACGCCCAGCCCCAGCGCACTGCGGCTGCAGGGTACGTCATCGGGCCTGCGAGGAACGGCTCACGATGGAAAGCAATAAACATCAGTCATTGTAAATTAGATCTGACGAAGTCGATGGTGTCGGAGCATAGTCAGTTCAGCAGTTATTCTAGAAATAAGTCTTCGGAAAGAGCGATACCACAGTTGTGGAAGTTGCAGATAGCATCGTCTAATCATATGCAGACGACTGTCCCTTGCGATGGCCTGCTAGTGTAGTTTATTTTTATATAGCCCCCATGTGGATGCCGAGCTCGGCGCACCATCCTGACCGGCCGACGTATGTTTTCTCAGGTTTCCCGGGTCTGAAGGATCTCGGCTACGAGGGCTACCTGGACGTGGACGTCACCACGGAGGCGTCTCCGGTGGACCGCTCGCTGGACCTCGGCATGCGCGACTCGGGCGTTCTCTACTACGGAAACCCCTTCACTTCAGGTACGCTGGTAATGCGTGATTCTTAGGCTACTTTCAAGCTACATTCGTAAAATTAATGTATTTTATCTTTGATTTAACTCCACCTAATGCTGTAAACTGCCAAAAATATTTCCCATCAATAATGCCATCGGTCTTAAGCTCGGCAACTTCCCTCCATGCATTGCTGACGCTAAATGTCGCTCGATTGCAGGAGCAGAGTCTGTGACGGCACCGTGCGTCAACGGATCGCTGTTCTCCTTCACAACTGCGCATGCCCAGCGGGTAATGCGGCTCTACCAGTGTTACAACAACAACACGCTCGGACAGATGTGGACCAAGTCGATGCCCTACCTGTTCCCCTTCATCGTCGAGTACAGGTCAGTAGAACGGCAACGATATGAACAGGCACCGTGTTAGCCGCACGAGGGTAGCGAAATTTCCCAATCATTGAGTGAGTCTTAATGCGCTGGAAGCCTCTAAAACGCAGGAACATGCTTTCGAAAGCAAGTCCTCTGACAGCAAGTTACAGAGGGCTTCAGCACTGAGCCAAGTGTCATGCGGTACAGTCTAACTTCAGGCGTTCGTTACTGCTGCCATCTAGCGCCAGGATCAGAAACTTCAATTGCGATTTCTAACACTGGGGGATTCCGTACTCTTGGGACGTTTCCAATCACTTCATGTGACGCACCCGTCTTCTTTGTTCTCCCATTGATCAATCCCATCTCCGTCCACAGCCTGATCGCGGCGGCGGTGACCTACATCATGTGGAAGTCTGTCGGCCGCGAGCGCTCCAAGCAGGCAGAGACCAAGAAGGCCGACTCCGACAGCACGCTGGACTCTCGGCGACGGAAGCAGTGGCGCACCGACTGCCGCGCCGCCTCCAAGGGCCTCTTCCTCGGCCTGCTCTGCCTGGTCGGCGGCATCGTGGTGCTCATCATCTTCTTCGTGATGAAGGACACGACCGAGTTCCAGGGCCAGATGTTCTGGCTCTCTGCCGGCACTCAGCTGGTGGTGCTGAGTCTCTCAGTGGTAATGACCCTGGTCGGGTTCTACCAGGTGCCGAAGCTGTCGGTAACCCACAAGAAGAAGCCGCTGCATCTGGACTCGATGCTCAGCTCGGTGACCATCGTCGGCGTCTACCTGCTGGGTATTTTCGGTCTGATCGTGGGCGGGATCGAGCTGAACGAGCCGCGCCACCTGGTGCTGTTTGTGCTGAACGTGACGCTCATCGTGCAGACAACCTGCCAGGGGATGCTGGTCTCGGAGGCCAGCCGCCGGCAGTGCGCCACCCGGCAGCAGCAGATGGCCAAGCCCGGCCGACAGGTCATCACCTTCCTCCTCTTCTCAAACGTCACCCTGTGGATGATGGACACGTTCATGTCGCACCACTGGCTCTCGCAGGAGATGCAGTTCAACTACTATGGCTTCCTCGCCTGGGGCATCATCTCTCGCATCAGCCTGCCGCTGATGATCTTCTACCGCTTCCATCAGTCTGTCATTCTTGTGGAGATCTGGAAGAACACGTATAAGACGCGTAGCGACTAGCGGGGAGGACGCAACCCTGACGACTCTGACACAGACTGGTACGGCAGCAGCAGCGGCAGCGGCAGCAGCTGCATCTGCAGCTGCGCCGGCAGCTGCAGCGTCACCTCCGAGTGCTCGCGCTGCCCGGTGTGCCGCACTGCCGCCGCTGCCGTCGCTGCCGCTCCCCCGTCCATGTCCACTGACAGTATGGACTCGGGCGCGGCGCGCGAGCTCCGCCACCGGCGCAGCCTGTTCGGCCGGCGCGCGCTGACACCGCCGCCGCCGGCCGCCCGCCGGCCGCACTGGCGCCGCAGCCGGTCCCACTCGGTGGAGCGGCCCGGCCGGCGGCGGCGGCGGCGGCGGTCGGCCGCCCACTACACGGACCTGACAGACGACGAGCGGGCCGAGCCGGCGCCGCGCCTCTCCGCCGACCGGCTGCTCGGCTCCAGCGTGCTGCTGGCGCCGCACCCACGCTGGCGCAGCGCCGCCGCCTCCGGGCTGAGCGCCCAGCTGCGCCGGCTGGCCGCGCCAGAGGTGGCCCGCTTCCTGCCGGCCGGCCGGCTCGGCCCGGACCCCCCTCTGTCCAGTGACGACCCGCTCGTGCTGGGCTGGTTGCAAGTCCAATCTCCCCCCGCTGTCCCCTCGACCGGCATCAAGCAGGTGCCGTTCCACCGTAACCTGGAGCATCTGATGCGGCTGTAGCGGCGCCGGCCGCCCGGCCCGCGCCGCTCGGCACCCTCAGACTGCTCATGGCGGAGGGGCGACACCTGCCCGCCCGGCGCCGCCGAGCCGCCACTCCTCAGTGACGGCGAGCGCGGCCCGGCAGCGCCGCAGACGCGACGACTGACGCGCACTCCACTCAGTGTTTCTTCAACTACTCTTCGTCTATCTGTCTGTCCATTCTCCGTGATCACATTTCGGGCACCCACCAGCCGACTCTGCCGCCAGTGACGGCGGGCTGGCCCCGCCGCCACACGATACGTGACGCTACCAACTGACGCGAGACAGCCGCTCACGAACTGACGCGAACGGACTGACGTCGCCGTGACGTGACTGTGATGCGACTGACGGCGGCAGAGGGCCAGAGCGTGCAATACCGACACCTCACAGACTTATATGTGGACTGCCGGTATGGCCCGCAGTCTCGTCGTGCCCGTCCTTCACAGTGGGGGCGGAATAGTGTCCGTATTGTGCGCGAAATACCGAAATGTTTTGCTTGCAGCCTGACAAAATATTCCCGACGTGAGTTAACCGTTAGTCAATGGAGCATGTTGAAGGACGAATATGAGTCGTCAAATTACATCAAGCGATTATAAGTAGCGCATTCGGCTAACAGCATGGTAAGGTTGTTGTTTGGTTGAGGCATGCTCGGCGCATTATTGAAGGATACGTTTGTCTCTGTGGAGTTACCACGGGGCGTTGATTTGTCTGTTATTCGAGTATTTATTCCATTGGAACTGAATGTTCCAGAGGCGAATTACGTTGCTTGTTTACCCTTATTGTATTTATTGGTATGTAAGTCGTGAACGCGTTGTGGTATAGGTTGGCAGAGCGTATGAATGCTACTGATGTATGCAATAATTGTGCGAGTGGGAATGATAATACCGTTTTGCGAGTTGCGAACCATGCTGTTATCGGATAGCCGAAGCGTCTGCAGTGTTCGTAACTCGATTGGTACAAGTAGTTCGCCAATAAACAATAGATCGAAAAACCTCCTTGATTTCATCTCTAATCCTCCTCCCAACAAACACCCAGTATACCGGATGGTCTTTGTTATTTGCTCACCCAGGTTATCATATTACACATGAACCAAACTGAAGCAGAACGCAACACATACTGCTTGTCGAACCGATGGCGGGGGCGGGGGCGAGGGCACTGCCGCCCCGGCGGTCACCGGACGCCCTCCGTTGTACTGGCACAGTGACCGGCCGGTCCCCCGACGGCCCGCGACAGTCACACTATCAAGCACGGCCAGCTCTGAACACACGGCGGCCACGGACTGCCCGGAGGCTACACATGGCAGTCACAGACCACCACGCCCAGATCTGACCAGAGACGAATAAATGTCTTCCAGCGCTGTTCACGGACCCTGTGAACGCTGCCATAAGCCGCCACACGACGTGAGCTACCGATGCGGTGAGGGGTCGGGCCGCCGCCGCCGGCACCCGATTCTCCGGGCGGGGGCGGGGGCGGCCGCCGTGTCCCGCCGCCACAGCCGCCCACGTTGAGCAGAGCTGGCGGCAGGGGCGGCGGGAGGCGGCAATGGGGGTGGGGGAGGCAGGCTGTGCCCTCACAGCGGCAGAGTGGTGAGAAGTGGCCGTTTAGTCGACATCCATTTCGGGCGGGGGTCGCGGGGGCGGGGGTCCACCGGCACCGCCCGGGGGTCCACCGGGGCCGCCCATACCGCCCATACCACCCATACCGCCCATACCACCCATACCGCCGGGGAAGCCAGGCATACCACCGCCGCCACCGCCCAGCTTCTGTGTCATCTTGGTGATGAGCGCCATCACCTTGGGGTTGCCCTGGTACTTCATGATGTTGGCCGGGTTCTGGGAGACGTCGGCGAACGCCGTCATCACCTCGGGGTCCTGCGGCAGAACATGGTCAGGTCAGGTTATGACGGATTCAGCCATTTTTGGATCACATTGTCATAAACGATTTAAGTAAAACGCGTGGGAAAATGTTGTTTCCGGTTGTTTTGAGTAAAAGTGCACGGAAAATTCCGTTGTTCCCGGGAAGTAATGCGTCAGGATACTTCGACAGTTGTGCGCAATATTCAAAATGGAGGGAGCCTGTGGAAATACTTGTACTGTCGCGGTTATTGACCTTTAGGTTAACCATTAAACATCACTCGGGTGCAGTTGGGGTGCAGTGCAAATCAATAGGTATACCCTGGTATGTACATATATTGTTTTCGTGCAATGCATCGATGTTAAGTTTAGCATTAACTAATAATTTTGCATACAATTATAATTGAAGAGCGTGAAAATAACTGGCTCAAGACAAACAACTGGAAACATTCCCGTGAGCGTAATTGCTTCACAAACTAGGTCATTACTTGCTCCTTGAACTCTTATCTCTGGCAAAATTCAACTATCCCAGCTGGAAAGAAATCATCATTACTCAGTCGTAAGGCACCAGGCAAGGTCATGCGATTCATTCACAGCACAGAATACAGATCGCATCAAGAAAGACGGCACGCTATAAAACTCTGAATCAGCAACGCACTCGTCTTACCAAAACCACCTATCAGCACATCGCTCGCGATCGCCTGATCGCCATCGCTCACCTGCATGGCGGCCACGATCTCCGGGTCGCTGAACAGATCAGACATGCCCGCCGGCATTCCTCCGGGCATCCCTCCGGGCATCCCTCCGGGCATCCCTCCGGGCATCCCTCCGGGCATCCCTCCGGCCCGTCCGGGGCCCGCTCCGGCGGCGGCCGCGGCGTCGGCGGCGGCAGCTGCGCGCGCGCGGGCCTTCTGCTGTTCCTCGCGGGCGCGCCGGATGCGCTCCTGCTTCTGCTTCAGCTCGCGCTCCTCGCGGCGCCGCTCCTGCTTACGGTTGTGCTCGGCGATCTTCTGGGCCTACGGACAGAACATGGCACGGGTGACGCCCGCCTGAAGATGAGCGAAGAGGATAGCCACACCGTAAACTGCTCTCCCTTGAGGTGTAACGATTACCTCGAAAGGTGTATTTTGATGAACGTGCAAAACATCAAAGATAAAACCATTAAAGCGTTAAGACTTGGTAAAGGCAGACAAAACAGTGATAACCGAGCGCAAAAACGTGAATAAAATACCAAATGATTTAGTAATTTCGGAACATAATAATCGTGGACTAGATCCAAAACGGCGAACGGAAAGGACAGGATACAACCATGCTCGAAACAATCACGGTGACCATAATAGCCCAGTCGCTGCTGGTGACTCACCAGACACAGAACCACAGAGTCCTAGAGACGGCAGATATTTGTTTACCTCGCCGAGCACGCCCGTCCACGAGTCCCGTAAAAAGCCGCGCTGAACACCGTCCTATTTGTGGGCCGGCAAAAAGTGAAGGACAGGGTCGCTGGTGAATTCGGGTCTGTACAACGTCAGAGTGCATTCGAGTGATATGGATTGTGAGAGCGACTTGGTACCCGGCCAGTACCATAGGCACAGGCACCTGACGAGCGATGACTGACCCCATAGCCAGTCACACATGACCGTGAGCCATGTGGGCCCAGGTCCCACATGACCAGGGGGCCCCGGCCGGACAGACCGCACAGCGTGGTGACGGCCGCAGGCGGACCGCAGTCTCCGCCAACTGACGCAAGCCGTGAGGGATGGGACGGGTCGCGGCCCACCTCCGACTGCCGGGGACGGCGGCCAGCACAGTGGAGCTGCGAGCTCAGACGGCAGCCAGCCCCGCCGAGCTGCGAGCTCAGACAGCAGGGGACGGCAGTCAGCCCCGCCGAGCTGCGAGCTCAGACAGCAGGGGACGGCGTTCAACTCCGCCGAGCTGCGAGCTCAGACAGCAGCGGACGGCAGCCGTCCCCGCCGAGCTGCGAGCTCAGACAGCAGCGGACGGCAGCCGTCCCCGCCGAGCTGCGAGCTCAGACAGCAGCGGACGGCAGTCAGCCCCGCCGAGCTGCGAGCTCAGACAGCAGCGGACGGCAGCCAGCCCCGCCGAGCTGCGAGCTCAGACAGCAGCGGACGGCGGTCAGCCCCGCCGAGCTGCGAGCTCAGACAGCAGCGGACGGCAGCTAGCTCTGCCGAGCTGCGAGCTCAGACTACAGCGGACGGCAGCCAGCACAATGGAGCTGCGAGCTCAGACGGCAGCCAGCCCCGCCGAGCTGCGAGCTCAGACAGCAGCGGACGGCGGTCAGCCTCGCCGAGCTGCGAGCTCAGACAGCAGCGGACGGCGGTCAGCCCCGCCGAGCTGCCGCAGCTGACGGTTCACCGGTGGAGCTGCTAGATCACAGCGCTCAGGCCTCAGCCTCTAGGCTCTATAAGCCGGTCCAATGTCACTGAACCAGTCAGATGGACGTGTTTTTTTTTTTCGTTGTACAACTAGGTGAAACGTGTAAATAAAGCAGGTGCTGGCACAAGTTTTACGATTGGCTAACACGTTAGGTGTGTGGGCTGTGAGGAACATAACAAAAGAGCACCCAAAATAGATTTGCTTTTAATCTTCCAGACCATCCAGGGAATAAAATACGAGCATATCTGGTCGGATACAAGGCTCAAAGGGGGGGCATTAACCTGACCCGGAGATGCCATATTATTCCGGACGTTATGTAAGTGATGGTTCAATAAAGTGTTATACAAAAATACCGTTACTGAGTTTGTCTAAAATTGGTTCAAGCTCCAGGATTTGGCATATTAGAACGTTATATAACAATGCCCATTACGTAACACGATATGTATTCCATGACACTACATGTATTCATATCAACATGGCTTGGGGCAACCATGAAACTAGGAAAAGCCATTTAGCAAAAGCTTTTGTTACTGATGGGCATACCTTTTAATAACCTATCTCAACCGGCCACCACCCCGTTGGCGGTTCCTCCCTTTCTCCTTTCCCCAGCCTAGTGACTCGTGCACGTCTCTTGTTCACGCCTCGCCCAGTGACCGACCAGACTCCCCCAATTACCCCAGCGGCGTCCTGCCCCGGCAGTCACCCGTCGACACCCGGCGCCGTGCCGGCGGCCAGCGACCAGTGGTCAGACAAACGCTACCGACTGTGTACCCATGCTGGTAGCGGCGTGTGGCAGTTCGCCAGCGTCGCGGTCCGACCGGGTGACAGCTGCGGTGACAATGGCGGGCAGCAGTGGCCCACTTACATACACAGTACACACACGCCCTTCACTGCGACGGCCGTAGCATCATGCGACCCATGAACATACTCTGAGTTGGAGGTTGAGGTCCACTGACTCCCATCCACTGGTCATCGGGTGGTTACCGATGTAGTCTAGTGTTTTTTACTTCTGACCGGTCAGCTGCGGTCTAAGATGGTCTCTCATCTGGGCTTGATTGTGATGGATGCTGCAACAAGCGCCGGGTACAGAGTTGACGAGCTGCTATCTGGGGTAGTTCCCAAGCTAGTGTATGTAAGTCCCATAATTGTGGTCTGTTGCGGATCTGGGGTGTTTCTTATATGTAGATGTGCTATGTCGGTAGTTCTGGATCTACTATGGGGAGACGCCGGGCCGGGGTGACCGGAATGGCCTGTCAGCGCGACAGGGTCCGTCCCGCCCACCAGACGGTCTCTGTCATCACCAGCGCTGGAGCGACAGGCGACACCGGTGCCGTCGCCGGTCCGACGTGTGATGGATGACTATGGAACGGGAGACACTGAGTCTCTGGGTCACTCCGGTGAGTCAGACCAGACGGCGAAACCAGAGGAACCAGAACCAGTGGAGCCGGAGGAAACAGAGCCAGTGGAAACGGATGAACCGGACCCAGTGCAGCCAGAGGAATCAGCCAGTCGAACGAAGCGGGCAGGAAAAGGGAGCCACACCGAAGAAACGACCGAGGAAAAGAGCACCAATCTAATTAGCAGAGTAAGGTTGTTAAGAAGTTGCCTCGAAGTCGTTGAAAAAATACTAGATCGGAGAGCAAGTGGTATAGCACTTGTCGGAGAGCTCGAGGCACTAATCGAGCTGGACTTCACGTGGAAATCACCTAAATACCGTCAATCAAGAAGCAATGAATCATTTCAATCCCCATCCATCAAAGTTGATGGCGACGATGACGGAGCCGGGTCGGCTAACAACCCAGCTCCGAGCAGTTGGTACTCCCGCCTCCACACCTGGTCATTTGATACACACCCCCATCGATCATCCTAGACCGACCGTTGCCGCTGCCGGGTCACCGGTCACCAGCTCCGGTCATCACGCCGTCCGCGCGCGCGCGCGCCGCGGGCTCCGATATGTCACCTGCGCCATAAAAGGCGGCGGCGCGGGCCGGCGCGCCGAAATAGCGCGCGCCGGGCCCGTGTCACCGGCGGTCACGTGGCCCGCCGTCGGTCGGTGACGTCACCGTCAGGTGGGGGGCGCGCCGTCGGTCGGTCGGGGCAGGCAGGGCGCTCGCTCCGCTGGGCTGGGGCGGTCAGTGAGCCGGCGGCGATGGCGCGAGTGGGCTGGCCGACAGTGGCGGCCGTGGGGGCGCTGGTGCTCGTCTCACTCGCCCTCCTGGCGGCATCAGGTGAGCGGACAGACGGCCGAACGGGGCCGGGGCCGAGATGACCCGACGGGTCACCGCCGGCACCCCGCGACCATCAGTATGTGTGACCCAGGAATGAAGACCAGACCCTCCCTCACACCTAAAAAAGGCATACCTGTCCTCTCCACGAAATGCAAAGTGGATCAAATATAGGCTTGGAGACTCAATCTTGTAAGTTATACTGTTATGGTCCATATTAGGCGCATATGTGCCGAAAGGCAACCTCTAATCCGACAACAGTCTCTCATGGTAACAGCCAAGAGAATCGAGAAAAGACGAAACAGACAGAGGACGGGCTCAAGTATCCACCAAATCAAATGGTAGACTTAGCTCTGTAACACATGAGAATGTCACAGTTCCCATAAGCAGCTCTCGTCACCACAGCCCTCTAAGCGTGTAGAGGCCGACGATCAAACAGCAGACGGTAGCAACTGATGCCCTGGAAGAGTTACGACACCAGCCAAAAGCGCCATTCCAGCGAGAATGGGTCCAATGAAGCCTAATCGGCTGAGCTGTGACGAGCTACCTGGACATCCGTCTCATCTATTAAGACTCCTGGCTCATACTCCACCTAGCCAACACAATAAACTCCACCTGCCCCTGGCTTAGAAGGAAAGACAAAAAAGATCAACAAATGGGCTGATACCGCAACAAGCAGCAAACCCGTGAAACACAAAACTGATCGAATTCAATCGATGCCAGACGGCCAGCACCTTGCATTATCTGCGCCTTCGTCCCTCAGTAATGACTAATGATAACTTACCCAAAAGACTAAAAGGGTAGCCACAAAATTCCCGAAAGAAGTAAATCGTACTGCAGCGAATTAGTTAATGATTGATAATCAGCGTAAAGTAGAAAGAACCACACCTTTATCGAACGTCATTGTTCTGTTACGATGAAACACTGTTGGATACTTGTAATTGATTGAATCCTACTGTGAACCAGTCTGTAACGCTTTAACAATCCTTCGTCGAGTAAAGTTTAGTTTAGCATCCGAGTACACATCCTCCTTCAGGATCAGTGCTGGCCTGCTTTGCCACCCTCTGTCACCTTCCCGTCTGTCAAGGAGCCGCCAACGCCCACGGGATGACCTCGATATTGACGTCTCTTGAGGACGTGCCAGGTTTCTGATGCAAGGGCGCATTAATTTGGAAACCATTTAAATACCCGAGACCAGCAGCGAAGACGCGACCGTGTATCTTCATCATCAGCTAATGAGGAGCGCACTAAGCAGCCGGGTGCTCAACGACCAGATAATCACACTTTGCCTGACTCGGGTTAATAATAAATCGACTCACACTTGGTGGATACAGGTGGTAATGCAGAATCATGTCTAAATACGACTGCAGGAGTAAGCGATGACTTATTAAGCGCTGCAAAAACATCCCCTCCCTTTTGCTGACCTTTCCATGGATGAGATATAGTATTATTTCATCCATGACCTTCCTTTTCGAATATATGGCAACTAATTCATTATCAGACGTTGAGGCTGACAAAACGACTAGTCTCAGTGCCAATTTAACACCACTATCACATTTCTTTCCATGTCCTTCGACACCACGAGTCACGGAATGTTAACGGTTTTCGCTGGCGAGTAGCCAGCGCGACCTCGGCGTCCTCCTGTGCCGGCCGGCCGGGACAGCGTCTGACGACTCCGGCGTCCTCTGAGGGCCCTCCACCGGACCCCGAGGAAGAGTCCATCACATTCCGCCGCTCCAGCGGGCCGCAGTGTATTGTTTTTGGCGAGCAACCCTCCAGGTCGGCCGGCTGTTGCCACAGGCGTCGTGTGAAAGGAAATGTTGGATAACGACGCCCGGGTCAGATCGGCACCTGTTGGGGTCACGGCAACACGGTGTGGTCAGTGGCGGAATTCAAACATCGCCGCCATATCTTCAACAGGTGTCTGCGGCATGCCTGCGCGACTCCACAGGTGGTCCCATACCTTCGGACACGGACAGTGCCTTCAAGAATACACACCGTCGCGGTTCGGGATTCGGGAACCCAGCATAGGACGCGACCGCAAGGCACGCCAGTTGGCCGACATCGCCTCAACATTGGCGGCGACAGTTTACTCTCCGGCCGGACGTACTCTGCGCTGCTACACGGCAGCCAGCGCCGCCCCAGGGGTCGGTACTCGACAGGAATTTAACCCGGCCACGGCACTCGAAACACGCTGCTTCACCGGATGCGGAATACGGCAGCAGGCCGGTTAAGTCTCCCTTGGCATATCGACCCTCTGAGAAGATGGTCAAAACGGCTATGGGCATGACTGCCTGACCGGAAGGTTACCGTTGGAGTCATGCACTTCGGAGTTATCAGTTGTGATTCAGCCGGACCCAGACATTGATGAGCCCAATGGCATAACGCGTAGATGTCACAGAGCGTGCCCAGTGCCTGGGTGAGCGAGGGACGTCCGTCTCCGCTGCCGACCGGTCCGAGAGGGGCCACAGGGCAGCAGCAGGAGCAGCCAGTGTCAGCCGGCGTTGGCTAAATTTACCGACTCGGCTGGCATCGGCGGCGGCCGTCAGCTGAGTCGAGGGCGGCCGGGCTGCCAAACGGACCGCCCCCGCCCCCGCCCCGCCCGGGGTCCGCCACCGCCCCCTGAACGGACGCCCCGCGGCCCTGGACCACTGGCGACCGACGGCGACATCGACTGGGGGCCGGCTGGGGCCGGTATGCCGCCAGACTGCGGTGAAACAGCACCTCCTCAAGCCCCTGGGAAGGTTTTCGATCCTACGCGGGATACAAAAGAACATTGCAAGTCAGTAACAACGAATACTGCTCTTAGACCATCTCCATTGCCCTCTGCTTGCTGTTGTAATTGATACATCCCAGCACAATGTGCTGTCCGTACCAAGTCCAGTTTGCACTGCACGTCCTGCCGGCAGTTCCGGCCGGCGACTGAACCTCCTCCGCCCCACGTGAACACCCTCAGTGAGCGGCTGTAACAGCAGTGTCGGCCAGTCGGCGGCTGTCGGCGGCTTCGACGGCCGACCACATTCCACCGCCGAGGCGCGGCCATTGTCAGGTGTGCGGGGCCGACGGGGAGGAGGGGGGCGGCGGCGGCACCCCTGCCAAACGAACTCCCCGCCCTGCCAACCGGCGACTCCGACTGCTGTCAGCTCGGTCGCTGGCGGACGGTCGACCGGAGACGGGAGCAATCGCGGCAGCACAAGGCAGACGAGATTCGACTACGAACTATAGAGGAGGCCGAACTCACCAACTATACGAAGAATCAGAAATGGCAATGTCAATAAAATACAAATTAGACCCCAACACACATCAAAAAGCGGGAGTAAAACGTCAATAAATAGTTATATCAGACGGCCGCGATCCAGATTTCACTCCTAACTCAATGCCATTGGGAGGCACCCAACGGAGAAGAGAAAATATAACGATGTATGATGTCAAATAGCAAAAATGGTAAAAACCTTCCCACCTATACGCAAAGCATTCTCAGCCATGAAGTATCCATCTCATCCACACCCCCAAAATCACGTAACCTGCGCGGGGTTCTTTGAAAAAGGGGAGAGCAAAAATCAGCCTGTCAGCAAGTACGCTTCTCGGTATTTGGCATAGGTCAGTTCACCGCCAGATGCTGCAGGACATATCATCCCCGTCCATTCACTGGCCACAGCCGGCTGACCATGACTACAGCTCTGGTCAGATGCCAAGCATCCCAACCGCGTGATGGTCGGGAAAAGTTCCTCTGCTGATCAAATTCTCCGCTGATGCAACCCCGTGTCTCAAAGTCAAACAACACATCCCCCGACGGCTGGTGTGGTCAAAATGCAAATAAACATTTGCCCGAAAATTATGATCTAGCCTAACGTCGCCATTCTTCTCCATCGCTTTGATATATTACTAACGACAATAACCTTCACCTTGGGACTTGCAGCTCTTACTGAAAGAACAGGGGCGTCAGCCCGACACGACGTATGTCAATCTGGTTGGGGTGAGCATCGCACGTACGCACATTTTGTTCTACTGTGATTATTATTTGGTCCCACCTTTTCCATGCTTATCTCAACACCCTGACACTCTGACAGCTACAAATGTATCCACAGCAGCCCGACACATCCTGCGACAAGGCCATAGCTTAGACAAAGCCGCGACAAGCGCCGGTATATTTTTGAGGGCCGGGTGCCGTCACCCGTGCGTCAGGTGGTGAGTTATACGACCAGTCCGTGCCAGCGGGCGGACGTCAGGACGCGCCACGCCGTTCATCCCAGGTGGTATTCCGTCCACCCGAGGTGGTTGCTAGGTCACAGCAGGGCCCCGGGTCCTCGCCGGCGATCAGAGGGTACGCCAACGCTGCTCGGTGAACCTCAGCGCCGCCGCTGAGATGGATGCGGATAGCGCCCAGCGGACGGCACAGTGTGACAGCTGGCAGCGGGACGGTACCGATACGCACACGCACACCGCCGCCAGCCTCGCCAGGGACAGCCGCCACGGCCCGCAGCTGCGTCCTATCTCACCGCAGCGAGACGGGCCGCGGCGTCCCTGGCGAGGTCGGCCGATCAGACCCGAGTCGGTGACAGACGGCAAAATAGCCGCCCCGGCGGCGGCGGCTGACGGCTGGCGGCGGTGGCCGGGTGCCGCTGCCAGCAGACGGCACCAGAATGGCCGCGGGCGGCGGCTGTCCCTGCTCTGGGGCGGCTGTCCCGGTCAGGGGCGGCTGTCCCCCGGTGTGGGACGGCTCTTTCCCGCGTTTCCCGGTCCACGGCGCCGCCTCTCAGAGGTCAGGCCGCAGAATGGACTGGAAAGGAGCCGGCGATGCACACAGCGGTAGAAAGGAGCGCAGGTGTTGCCGTGGCGGAGGATGCAGGTTAACTGGTCGTTTATATGGTGTGAGAATAGGTACTTTGGGGTTACACAGTGAAAATTGAGTGCATAATATCTTTAGCGTTTATTCGGAGAAGTTTTGGCAACAACCTTTTAAATAGTAGCAATCGACTCAGCAACAATAACGACACTGAAAC